AAGAAGACTTTAACAAATTTCTAAAACACAGAGAGCATATAGAGGATTGATAAATCTGTACAGAGAGGATAAACTTGTAACCAAAAAGGCAGAAGAGAAAAATTTGTCAAGGAGGAAAAGTTAATCAGTGTCCCTTAAGTCTCTCCAATAGTAGTATTTGGACGTTTCAAGGGTTAAGGAATGGTGGAGAATGAGGCTGAAAAAGGAGGCTTTCCCTGCCTATGTTTCCTCCACAAGTCTTTTCATCAGGTAACTGATTTCTTCCCACAAGAAGAAGGAGGCTCACTCTCTAGAGAAACTGAGCTTAAGAAGCCCTGCACTCAGAGACACAGGGTAGTGCCAGAAAAGGCATGAGGTGTAGGCTTGAAGGCAGATTTGGTACGGGTCTACTCCTTCAATTAGGAGACTCTTAGCTCTTTTATTCATCTTGCTTCCTAAAATTCAGCAGCTAACTTTATCCAACACAAAGGGAACTGATCTAGAGAAATGACATTTTTCTTTCGCCATCTTAATGGAAAATTCTCTTCAGTGTCCAACAGAGTGAATGAAATGAAAACATGTACTGCTAGACACAGGGTTACGCAATGTGAGGACATGAGAATTAAAGGGAAAATCACAAAAACTTTCAGATCTATACCAGGTTATATTGAAACAATTAGGATTCAGAATTCTCAAGAAGAACTATTAATATTATCTTGTATATTAATAGAAATAGGGTGTTTTCATACTTGCATGTTTGCCAAAAATTTTACCTTCTATTTTCCCTTTCTCAGAAAAATATTGGACAATACGCTTCATTCAAATGCCTGAAACCTAGTTAGAGAAAATCCTGAGCTCCAGCAATCAGGAAACCTCACGTAGGAGAATGAGAATGTCAGGGAGGCTGCCTAGCACCATACCTAGAAAACAACTACTTCAGAATGGACCTAGTGGATAATTCAGAAGTGAGAGGAGACAGCAAGAACAAAAGAGATGTGACAGATTGTATGAGAGTTTCCAATAGCTCAAAAAGGAGTTTCAAACATCTGCCTGAACATTTGTCAATAATTCTAACTTGGGAAACAGAAATCACAAATTGAAATAAGGAGACTTGGTTATGCCCAGGATAGTACTAAAAATACAATTTAATCATAGCTGTCTTACCAGAGAACCATATTTGTGTAGTCAGAATGATGTAAGCAATGAATACTGATATAAAAATTGTCATCTAAATATATTCTGGAAAAAGGAGTGTGGAAAAGTGAGTGTGTCTATCTGAGGGTGTGTTCAAATGTGAGGTGAAGTTGAAGATTAAAATTCTCATCTTTCCTAATAAAAAATTATTAATACAATCCACAAAAATATAAGTAAGAAATAGAAACAGAGTCTTTATTTAAAAATGTGAATGTATGTTCAGAAGAAGCTGCTAGAATGTTGAAAATGATGAATTTGGAAAGCGTGAGAATGAAGAGTATACCATTGCAATTTGCAACCCCTTCCACACACAGATGCACAAATACAGTCACATATATGCATAAATCTGATAGTATAATTAAATGTTTAAGCAACATGTTATTTTGATATGAAATTAATCCCTGTTTTTTTCCAAGACAGTAATTTCATGACTAAATTATATGCTTACTTTATGTTTGCAAACATTTTATTATTTTTATTTGTATTAATTATCATATATACTAATGTATATGTATATACAGATTTTTCATCTTTTATCTTTTTTAATTTTTATGGGTACATAGTAGTATATATTAATATGTTTGGGGGTACATGAGAATTTTTTTTTTTTTTTTTTTTGAGATGGAGTCTCACTCTGCCACCCAGGCTGGAGTGCAGTGGCCGGATCTCAGCACACTGCAAGCTCCGCCTCCCAGGTTTACGCCATTCTCCTGCCTCAGCCTCCCGAGTAGCTGGGACTACAGGCGCGCGCCACCTCGCCCGGCTAGTTTTTTGTATTTTTTTTAGTAGAGACGGGGTTTCACCATGTTAGCCAGGATGGTCTCGATCTCCTGACCTTGTGGTCCGCCCGTCTCGGCCTCCAGAAGCGCTGGGATTACAGGCTTGAGCCACTACGCCCGGCCTATAATTTGAAGTGAGATAATGTGATTCTTCCAGTTTTGTTCTTTTTGCTTAGGATAGTTTTGGCTATTCCGGGTCTTTTGTGGGTCCATATAAATTTTAGGATTTATTTTTTCTATTTCTGTGAAGAAAGCCATTGATATTTTGATAGGGATTTTATTGAATCTGTAGATTGTTTTGATAGTATGGACATTTTAACAATATTGATTTTTCCAATCCATGAACATGAAATATTTTTCTATTTGTTGCGTCCTCTTAAATTTCTTTCCTCAGTGTTTTATCGTTTTCATTTTAGACATCTTTCAGTTCTTTGGTTAAATTAATTCCTAAGTATTTAATTTTACTTATGGCTATTGTAAATGGGATTACTTTTAAAATTTGTTTTTCTTTTTGTTCACTGTTGGCATATAACAACACTACTGATTTTTATGTTGATTTTGTATCCTTCAACTTTACTGAATTTGTTCATTAGTTCTAATATTTAATTTGTGGAATCTTTAGGTTTTTCCTAATATAAGGTTATATCATCTGAATACAAGGATATTTTGACTTCTTCCTTTCCAATTTGGATAGCCTTTATATCTTTCTCTTGTCTGATTGCTCTTACTGGAGTCATCCAGTACTATGACGAATAACAATGGTGACAGTGGGCATCCTTGTCGTGTTCCTGATCTTAGAGGAAATACTCTTGGTTTTCCCCATTCAGTGTAGTACTAGTTGTGGGTCTGTCATATAGCTTTTTTATGTTGAGGTATGTTCCTTCTATCTCAGTTTTTTTAAATGAATTTTTATCAGGAAGGGATGTTAAACTTTATCAAATACTTTTTAAGCATCAACTGAAATGATCATATAGCTTTTATCCTTCATTCTTTTGATATGATACATCACACTGCTTGATTTGCACATGTTGAACCATCCTTGCATCCGAGGGATAAATCCCACTTGGTCATTGTAAATGACCTTTTTATTGTATTGCTGAATTTGGTTTGCCAGTATTTTGTTGAAGATATTTGCACTAGTGTTCATCAGGTGTATTGACCTGTAGTTTTCTTTTCTTGATGTGTCTTAGTCTGATTTTGGTATCAGGGTAATACTGGTCTCACAGAATGAGTTTCGAAGTATTCTCTTCTCCTTTATTTTTTGGAATAGTTTGAATAGGATTGGTATTAGTTCTTCTTTAAATGTTTGGTAAAATTCAGCAGTGAAGCTACCCAGTCTTGGGGTTTTCTTTACTGGGATACTTTTTATTTCTCATTTGATCTTGGTACTGGTCATTGCATGTTCAGGTTTTGGATTTTTTCCTGGTTCAAACTCGATGGGTCATATTCGTCTAGTGATTTGTCCATTTCTTCTAGACTTTCCAATTTATTGGCATATAGTTGCTTATAGTAACCACTAATTATTCTTTGAATTTCTGCAGTATCAGTTGTAATGCCTCCTTTTTAATTTGTTTTTATTTATTTGAATCTACTCTGTTTTTTTTTTTTTTTTCTTATTCTGGCTAAAGGTTTGTCAATTTTGTTTAACTTTTCAAAAGCAACTTTTTGTTTCATTGATCTTTTGTTTTTCTTCGTTTAAATTTTATTTATTTCTGCTCTGATCTTTATTATTCCTTTTCTTCTATTAATTTTGAGTTTAATTTGCTTTTGCTTTTCTAATTATTTAGGATGCATCATTAGATTGTTTATTTGTCTATTTTCTCCATTTTTGATATAAGTTCTTGTAGCTATAAACTTCTCTTTTAGTACTGGTCTTGCTATAGCCCCTTGGTTTTGGTATGTTGTGTTTCCATTAAAATTCGTTTCAAGAAATTTTTCAATTTCCTTTTTAATCTCTTCATGGGCCCACTCTCCATTTATGAGTATATTTTTAAATTTCCATTTAATTGTGTAGTTTCCAAAATTCCTCTTGTTATTGATTGCTGGTTTTATTACACTGTGGTCAGAGAAGATGCTTGATATTATTTCAGTTTCTTTGCATATTTTAAGACTTGTTTTGTGACCTAACATATGGTCAATTCCTGATAACAATCCATGTGCTGCGGAAAAGGATGTGTATTCTGTAGCAGTTGGATAAAATATTCTGCAAATATCTATTAGATCCATTTGGTCTATAGTGCAGATAAAGTTGAATGTTTCCTTGTTGATTTTCTATCTAGATGACCTGTCTAATGCTGAAAGTGGGATGTTGAAGTCTCCAGCTATTATTGTACTGGGGACTATCTCTCTCTAGTTCTAATTGTATTTCTTTTATATATCTGGGTGCTCCATTATTGGTTGCATACATATTTAAAATTGTTCCATCTTCTTGCCAAGCTGACTAATTTATCACCAATAGTGATCTTCTTTGTCTCTTCTTATAGTTTTTGTTTTGAAATCTGCTTTGTCTGTTTTAAATATAGTAACTCCTGCTTTTTTTTCGTTTCTATTGGCATGTACTGTCTCATTCCATTCCTTTATTTTCAGCCTATGTGCATCTTTATAAGTGAAGTGTGTTTCTTTTAGGTGACAAGTTAATAGGTCTTGTTTTTCCATCCAGTCAGTATGTCTTTTGATTGGAGATTTTAGCCCATTTACATTCAGTGTTATTATTGATAAGTAAGGACTTACCCCTGCCCTTTTGTTATTTGTTTTCTGGTTGTTTTGTGGACTTCTCTTCCTTTTTTCAATCTTTCCCGTCTTCCTTTATTGAAGATAATTTTCTCTGCTTGTATATGTACAGATTTTTCTTAATGCCTAGTTTATGGTAGTTACACATTTGTGCATCTGTAACAGTCCTCTCTTTACATTTGCATATACTTCCAGCACTATAATTTAAATTTCTAATGATGTTTGGATACCTTCATCATGATTCATGTACCCCTGAATTGCGACAACAAATGTGCCATTTTTCTCCTTTTCCATCAGTTTTTACTTGTGTCTTATCAGCTAAAGTCCAGGAAGAGATTGAACGTGTGATTGGCAGAAACCGGAGCCCCTGCATGCAGGACAGGAGCCACATGCCCTACACAGATGCTGTGGTGCATGAGGTCCAGAGATACATTGACCTCCTCCCTACCAACCTGCCCCATGCAGTGACCTGTGATGTTAAATTCAGAAACTACCTCATCCCCAAGGTAAGTTTGTTTCTCCTACACTGCAACTCCATGTTTTTGAAGTCCCCAAATTCATAGTATCATTCTTATCCTCTACTATCACCTGGTGAGAGAAGTGCATAACTCACATGTCTGGCAGTTTAATTGGACTTTGTGTTGTTTCCAGTTTGGGGCTACAAAGTTTTGTAACAGGTGTTGGTGTCTGGCAGTGTGTGTTTTCCAGATTTATTATCTTTCTTCAAGATTGGTTTGGCTACTCTTAGGTGCTTATGTTTCCAGATAAATTTTAAAGGCATTTGTTTGTCAATTTCCCAAAACATTGGGCTGGAATTTCTGTCAGGGTGACATTAAATTTATAGATCAGTTTGGAAAGAACTGAATCTTGACATGTTGCGTCTTTCCATTCCTGAATATAATTATGCTTCCAATTTATTTGGGATTTCTTTTATTTTCCCAGGAATGTTGTTATTTGTTGTCATGGTTTTCAAGTCTTTGGTTTTCCCTAGATAATTAATATTTTTGTTTTGGAATATAATTAGTTTTTGTCATTCTGATGATGTTAATTTGTCAACTTTGCTAAATTTACTAATCACTGTTCATAATTTATTTCTGGATTCATTGTAATTTCTGTGTAATTATACTGTATCTGGGTTAATATTGTTTTATTTCTTATTTTCCATTTCTCATGGGCTTAACATCTCTTTATTGCATTAATTATTGCATTGGCTAGAATTTCTAGGAGAGTGTTGAATAGAATTGGTGACAGTGGGGATCCTTGTTTCTCATTTCTAATCTGCAGGAAACAGTGGAAGTTTTCCATTTCAATATTGAGAATGATGCTTGAAGTATATTTTGGTAGATATTTTTTATCAGATTAGAGAAGTTTGCTATCATATATAGATGTCATAATTGTGTGTAAAATCTTATCACATCAATTCTCTGCATCTATATACTTGTGTGTTAGTCCGTTTCCATTGCTATAAAGGAATATCTTTGACTGGGTAATTTATAAATAAGAGAGTTTTATTTTGGCTCATGGTTTTGCAGGCTGTGCAAAAGGCATAGTGGGGGCAGGCATCTGCTCCTAGTGAGGACTTCAGGTAGCTTTCAATCATGGAAGAAGGTGAAGGGGAAGCAAGCATGTCACATGGCAAGAGAGGGAGTAAGAGAAAAAGGAGTGGAAGTGACTTTAAACAACCAGCTCGTGTGTGAACTAACAGAATATGAACTCACTTAGTATCATGAGAAGAGCTTTAAGCCGCTCAAGAAGAATTCACCCCCATGTCTTAAATACCTCCCACCAGACTCCACCTCCAACATTGGGAATCACATTTCAACATGAGATTTGGAGGGGACAAATATCCACACAACATCAGATTATATGTATTGGGCTTACATTCCTCACTAAATAGAAATAAGTATGCACATAGAGATGAATTGACCTTCTTCATGTTGTTTAGGACTTCAGTGTTTACATTCACAAGAGATTGGTTTATAATTTTCTTTCTTAGAATTTTCAAGATTTTTGAAATTGAGATTATGCCAGCCTTACAAAACTAGGTGAGAAAAGTTTCCTAATGCGAGTCTGATTTTATTGCCATTCCCTCTCCCCACTTTTCTTCTTGTGATCACTTAGTTGTATCTTTGAAATACTTGATGACTTTTGGTTAAATACCAGACACTATATATAAGAAATTGCAGAATTTCAGAGGTTTATATTCTTCAAAGAAAGATTCATTCCTCTCCCATAGGCAGTCATAATGACATAACACCTGTTGTCATGATTCAGAATTGGACATAATGTGAACCCAGTCGAAAATTGAGTGTCAGTGTTAGCTTAGCTCTCTGAGGTTCTCCTACCTCTGGAACCTTGAGACCAATTTTTGTCTTGGCAGCTTTACAATGCCTTCTATCACATGGTTTCTGTATTTATCCAGACACTCCAGTTGCCATCTCAAACCTACTTTTCCCAATTAAAACCAATACATATGATTAGTAAAATAAAAAATAATATAACTGAAAGTTGTATTTTCAAGGGGAAAAAGGAATGATATTGGTAAGGTTGTAATTACTAATGTCATCTTTTGAAGAAGACAGAATTGATAATTTACTGAGAGATTATGGGGCTTACCCTAATGGTCACTGATTTAGTACAAGAGATAAAACTTCAATGCACTCTGTTATCACAAACACAGGAGGTAACCAGGAGAAGACTTTTGTTTCTCAAAATTAGAGTCTGAGGGTAATAGTAATGAAACTTACTTCTCCTCCTATAACTAACTAAATGAGAAATATACCGAAGAATCAGGTAGGAGCTGCCAGTCTCCCCAGTTCACTACATCAGCTTTGGTGAACTGCTGGAGGGGAACGCTGCATCTGATGAGCTTCTTCATTCACCCCCCTGCAGGGCAGCTCATGCTGTGCCTGTTGTCTTTTGAGCCCTGAGAAACCAGAGCCCAAGGGAATCACCCATTGAATCCCTTCTTCATGGAATAGCCCAGTACAGAAAAATGCAGCACTGTGTGGCCAATTCTACCCTCTTTACATATCAGATACATGTGTTTTTCTGCTACAGGCTGGATCCATTTATCTAGCTGGAGATAATAGTCTGAGACAGGAGTTGGCAAACTGTTTCTGTAATGGGCCAGATAGTAAATATTTTAGATTTTCCGGCCATGTGGTTTCTGTTGCAATACTTGACATCTCTTATTGTAGTATGAAAGCAGTCATAAACAATCTGCAAATGAATGAAGATTGATATGTTCCAAGTTTTATGGAAACAAATGTAAATTTCCTATAAAATGTTTGTTTCAAAAATACTATTTCTTGTTTGCATTTGTTCAATGTGAATACTTTTAGCTCACATACTATACAAAAACAGGTGGCAGGATGGACTTGTGCAGGGAGTATTTTTTATTGATGGCTAATATAAGACATTCCTGTCCAGTAGAATTTTCTGCAAATATGTGTGATTAATTTGTTCTTTTGTGTCCTATTAAAGAATATTTGTCAGCACAAGATTCCAAAGACTGGCTTTTAACTTTCCTGGAAAATTTTTGTTTTAGCTCTTATATTTAGATCAATGACATACTTCAAATGAATTTTTATTTGTAATATGAAGTAATAATGGTCATGCTTCAATGTCTATAAATTTCTAGTTATTCAAGTAACATTTGTTGAAATAAATCTGCTTTGGTTCTTAATAACATTTTAATATAGTACTTGTTTATAAATATTCAAGGGAATATTTTTGAAAAACTAAATTATAGACTATTGATATGAAAATTTAGAGGGTAGAATTTTTCCTCACCTTTTTATTATAAAATATTTTAAAATAAGTAACATTACACACACATATGTATATGTACATATGGCAGTATGTATATATATCTACTTTGATATCTGTCCATCCATCTATTTATGCTTCAGTACCTCAGTATGTATAGCACAATAACAATGGTTTTCTCCTACATAATAATAATAGCATTCATACTGTGGAGTTATTAATACAATAATATTATTAACTATACAGCTTACATTTAAAATTTTCCAATTTTTAAAGAATATGTTAATCACTTTTTTTCTTGCAATTCACTCTCCAGTCAAGAAACAGGCACATAATTTCAGTGTCCTGTTATTTTCATCTCCCGTAATCAAGAAGAGTCCATTTCCTCTGTTTCCTTTTGATATGTTGACCTCTGTGAAGAGTTGAGGCCGTTAGTCATTTAAATTTTCCTAAGGCTCATTTTGTATGATTGTTTTCTAGATATTATATTCCAGTTATGACTTTGGCAAGAAAACTACATAGTACTTTGAATATCCCACTGAATCACAGTGGTGAGGCAGGGGCACATAATGTCACATATGTCATTATTGGTTATGCTAAGATTCTCACCTAATAAGTTGGAATCTGCCAGATCTCTTCATTGAAGGGGTTCTGATTTTCATGTGTGAATGATGAAAATCTATGGCATGGTACTTTAAAACTGAACACCCTGCTTCCCAAGTCACACATCCAATAGTTTTATCTTTCATTAATGATCCTCACCTAACCTGATGATCTTGACCTGAATGGTTAAAAATAGGTGATTTTTCTAATTCCATCGTTCCTTCTGTATTTTTTAGCTAGGATTAATCTGTAATGAATATCTCTCCCATATCTTTAAATGAAGACAAACAAACTGCATGGCAATGACAAGAACTCGATAGTTTTATACTTGTGACTATACTAGTTATCATCCCAGAAGACGTCATTTGAAACTCAATCATGTGTTTATTCACAAATGCCCTGTGAACAGATACTGTGGCCATTTCCATGTCAAAAGAGACTTCAACTTTAAGTCATACTCTACACATAAGGTTGGTGAAAACCAAAGTGATGGAATAGAGCAGCAAGTGTGGACAGCCACTAGTGTCCAAGCTTGAAAAGGAGGACAGATTCAGAAGGTTGCACCCAAGTATCCAAGTACTCAGGACTTCAAATGTGATTGCAGGGCACTTTAGCAAGATTATTTTCACTGGCCTTAAGCTCATGCCTATTATTACTTGGTCTATCCATCTGGAAATGGTACTGCTCTTCTTTGGAATGGTGTTTCCTCATCTGCACATCAAAAGATTCAACTACGTGATTACCACTGTTTCTTCAACCTTCATGGCTTCTTTACAGCTCAGTTCATCTATGTCTCTTGTTTATAGGGCACAACCATATTAATTTCCCTGAGTTCTGTGCTACATGACAACAAAGAATTTCCCAACCCAGAGATGTTTGACCCTCGTCACTTTCTGGATGAAGGTGGCAATTTTAAGAAAAGTAACTACTTCATGCCTTTCTCAGCAGGTAATATAAATGTATTTCCATTTGTGTCTCAGGGTATAAGACAACTTTTTTGATCAGTTGGAACTTACGTGTGCCTCCTCTGCAGTGGTACAATTACTTTTCGTACACGATCAAGAGCACTGTTCTGAATGTCTGTGTGCTCCCTGCTCATGATACATCCTAATTATTGAGCCAGATTAGTGGGCTTTGGGGAGTTAATCCAATTCTTCCAAATTGAGAAAGCTGAAGTATAGGTTGGTTGAATTCTGCCTCTAGATACACCACTGAGGTACCCAGTACCTAGAAGATAAAACTAATTACATTTTCCTCCCTAGCCATGAGGAAGTTATCTCACTCCAAAACTTCACTGAGTGTTTTCCACATGGTGTCCCTCACCCCCTAGGCTGGGCCTGTAGGATACAATTATCCTCAAACACTGAAGAGGGTCTTAAAAGGCTCGCTTCTGAGTTTGGAAAGCAGAGTAAACAGATCATTGTAGTTCAGTAGGACTGAGGCTGTGATATGGGAAAGAACAGGCTGTTGGGGTTTGGGAGGTAGATGGAAAAGCTGTCTGCTTCTTGTTCTCTTATACCCCAAAGTGAGGCATAAATAACATTTTAATAGCAGTGAAGACATTTGAGCTACCTCAGAGGAGGCAGAGAGGATGAAAGGAAGAGAATGCAGGGCTGTTAAAGGAGATAATGAGCCACGGGAGCAGGACATTAGCTCTAAATAACGGATATTAGAACCTTTGCCCAATAACCATAGATGGGATGAGGGGGACATTGGGAATGTAGCAGGATACTCTGCAGTGATGCAGAGCACCACGCTCTTCCCCTAGTCATGGCCTTGTATCTTGGATGTTGGATCTCCACACCTGAAATGTGTGTGCTGAGCGTCTGGTGATAGAATCTCCTTCCTTCATTCTGTGGCCTTTGATATCTGCTTTATATCTGACACTGTAGATACCAAGACAACAAGAAAAGAAATCTTCCTTCAAGCATTCACATTTGGCACATGTATTAGTCCATTCTTACATTGGTATAAAGAACTACCTGAGACTGGGTAATTGATGAAGAAAAGAGTTTTAATTGACTCACAGTTCCACAGGCTGTACAGGAAGCATGGCTGGGAGACCTCAGGAAACTTGCAATCATGGTGGGAGGCAGAGCGGAAGCAAGCACATCTTTCCATGGCAGAGCAGGAGAGAGAGAGCAAAGAGGAAAGGCTACATGCCTTTAAACAACCAGATCTCATGAGAACTCACTATCATGAGAACAGCAAGGGGGAAATCATCCCCCATGATTCTATCACCTCTCACCAGGTATCTCCCCCAACATTGGGAATTACAATTTGACATGAGGTTTGGGTAAGGACACAGAGCCTAACCATATCACACTCTAAATAAATAAATCAGTAATTATTATTGTAGGTGACCCATGCTGTCTGTTTTTTTGGCCATGACAAAATATCCAAGACTAGGCAATTGATGAATAATGGAAATTTATTTCTCACAGTTCTGAAGGCTGGAGTTCCAAGATCAAGGTGTCAACAAGTTCAGTGCCTGGTGAGGGCCTGTTCCTTATAGATAATGCCCCCTCTGTATCCTTATATGACAGAAGGGCAAAAAAGGCAAAAGGGGAGAAATGGCTCCCTTGCATCTCTTGATGTTATTTTAGCACGGACAGAGCCCTCTTGACTTATTCACTTCCTAAAAGGAGCCGTCTCTTTAGTAATGTTGCATTGGGTATTATGTGTCAACATATGAATTTGGGGGAGGCATATTCAGACCATAGCACATTTTTCAATGGAAGCATAAATATAATGTTGAGGAAACCCAGAGAAAGCAACATTTTCTTGCTCAAGGAGATGAGAAAGAGGGTAAAAAATGAGATAAAATTTGACCTATGTCCTGACTGTGGTAATAGAAAAGTTCATCTTGACCAAAAGGAGCAGCATGCTGTAAAACTTGAAACCTTGTGGTATGCTGGAGACTGATGACGAGTGGCTATGCCTAGAGTTGACAGTATCGGATTTGAAGAGTGTAGTGATATGGATCATCAGACTGGAAACAGAATGTGAGGTCCAGGTCAATCCATTGAGACCTTATCCTATAGGACAGACAGGGAAGCTATTTAAAGTTTTAAAGTGAGAAGGTGACATGTTTAGACATGTGCTCCTGAAAGTACCTAGGGGAAAAAAAAATCTTTGACTGCATGTTGAGCCAGAAATACAAAGGGAAATACAGTATGTTAGCTTCCTCCTCTAAGCCCTTCTCAGTTCAACCCACTTGACAAGGAATGTATGTTTCTAAAGAAAGATTGACGAAGGCATTTAAAGTCTGTAGAAATATCTTAATAAAGTGCTTAGCATGTAGCTGGTACTCAATAAATGTTTGTTCAGTATAGGGTGGCTATTAAGATCTGATATTAGGTGAAGAGTATGTCCATTCATTTTTCAGTTGCCTATCCATCCATCCATTCATCCATTTATCCATCCACCCATCCATCCATTCATTCATGCATGCACCCATCCTCCCATCTATCTCCTCATCCCTCCTATGATTCACTGAACAGTTATTGCATATTCTGTTTGTGCCAGTTATAAAGACAGTGTTTGTCACTGTCACAGTTACACATGAGGAGTAACTGCTCTCTGTGTTTGCTATTTTCAGGAAAACGGATTTGTGTGGGAGAAGGCCTGGCCCGCATGGAGCTGTTTTTATTCCTGACCTCCATTTTACAGAACTTTAACCTGAAATCTCTGGTTGACCCAAAGGACCTTGACACCACTCCAGTTTTAAATGGACTTGCCTCTGTGCCACCCTTCTACCAACTGTGCTTCATTCCTGTCTGAAGAAGAGCAGATGGTCTGGTTGCTGCTGTGCTGTCCCTGCAGCTCTCTTTCCTCTGGGGCGTTATCCACATTTCACTATATGTGATGCCTTTTCTGGCCTGTCATCTCACATTTTCACTTCCCTCAAGATCTAGTGAACATTCAGCCTCCGTTAAGGAGAGTTTCCTATGCTTCACAATGCAAATATATCTGCTATTCTCCATACTCTGTAACGGTTGCATTGACTGTCACATAATACTGATACTTATCTAATGTTGTTATTAATATGTTATTATTAAATAGAGAAAGATGATTTGTGTATCATAATTCAAAGGCATTTCTTTTCTGCATGTTCTAAATAAAAAGCATTATTATTTGCTGAGTCAGTTTATTAGACCTTCCTTCTTTTATGCATAATGCAGGTCAGAAATTAAAGAAAAATAGAGTTCCAGGAGGCCCTGCTGGTTCTCAAAATGATAAGGACAGAAAGGACAAAGGGGAAGAGGGTAGGGAAGCTATTTTTGCTGAGTGTGAGAGTTATTTGAGGATTGGATTTGAAAGTAAGAAACTGTTCAGGAGCAGCTCCAACCTGTAGGGAAATATTAAGAGGATCAGCCAAAGGGAGGAATGGACATTAAATGTTAGAATTCTTATATCCACATTGGTGTTCCTCTTTTTTTTTTGAAACAAAGTCTTGCTCTGTCACCCAGGCGGTAGTACAGTGGTGGGATCTTGGCTCTCTGCAACCTCTACCTCCCAGGTTCAAGTGATTCTCCTGCCTCAGCCTCCTGAGTAGCCGGGATTACAGGTGCGTGCCACCATGCCTTGCTAATTTTTTGTATTTTTAGTACAGACGGGTTTTCACCATGTTAGCTAGGATGGTCTCGATCTCCTGACCTCGTGATCTGCCCGCCTCAGCCTCCCAAAGTGCTGGGATTACAGCTGTGAGCCACTGCACCTGGCCTGGTGTTACTTTAAAGTGTCATTACTTTATCTCTAAAGAATCAGATTACTTATTACTTTTGTTACTTCATGTTTCCAACTTATAATGATATAATGAAGTATAAATATATGCTTTCATATTGCTTCTCATGTGTTCTGTCATGCTTCTCTCTTCAAACATGAACAAAATTTCTTTTCTTTTCTTTTTTTTTTTTTTTTTTTTGAGATGGAGTCTTGCTTTTGTTGCCCAGGCTGTAGTGCAATGGCATGATCTTGGCTCACTGCAATCTCCACCTCCAGGGTTCAAGTGATTCTCCTGTTTCAGCCTTCCAAGTAGCTGGGATTACAGATGCCCACCACCACACCAGGCTAATTTTTGATATTTTTAGTAGAGATAGGGTTTTACCATGTTGGCCAGACTAGTATGATAATTTTATGCTATGGTCCTAATACAATTAGCCTCAGGTCATCTCCAAAGCATAGACAGTTAAGTATCTTTATTTATTTTATTTTTATTTTTTAGTTGGAAATGCTTTATTCATGTCTACAGGAACCATATACAAAAGGTTGTCAAAAAGCAATACAAATTAAACATTTGGAAATATATCACAATCAAATTTCTTAGTGAAGTATTCAGATTCCAAAACTGTGTTAATGATAAAAGCATAGGAAAACATTTGCAAGCAATGTCTTACTTTGGGTTCAGCTAAAAATTATCCGTAGGCAGTCTCTTATTTATTTTCATAAACAAAGAACATATTCTATCTTTCTTTTTGTTATTATTATTATTATAATAATAATAACCTTTAAGTTCTAGGGTACACGTGCATAACGTGCAGGTTTGTTACATATGTATACTTGTGCCATGTTGGTGTGCTGCGCCCATCAACTCGTCAGCACCTATCAACTCGTCATTTACATCAGGTATAAATCCCAATGCAATCCCTCCCCATTCGCCCCTCCCCATGATAGGCCCCGATGTGTGATGTTCCCCTTCCCGAGTCCAAGTGATCTCATTGTTCAGTTCCCACCTATGAGTGAGAACATGCGGCACTGGGTTCATGCTCACTAGGGAAATGCCTGGTACAATCAGGTGTGGTCAGCTCTGCACAGCGCCGACCAGCCGAGAGCTAAGCAGGCGCAGGCATCGCCTCACCATGGGAAGCGCAAGGGGAAGGGAATCCCTTTTCAGCACAGGGAAGCTGAGAGCACCACAAACACCTGGAAACCAGATCTGGGTCAACTCCACCCCAATTACTGGGCCTTTAGAGCAAAATGGGCCATACCAGGAGAATTTATCCCCGACCTGGCTCCAGGAGGTCCCACACGCCCAAGGGAGCCTCCACTCAATTGCTAGGCACAGCAGATCTGGCCATATAACGCCAAAGCAGCAGCGAGGCTGGGAGGCGGGCGCCGGCCATTGCGAGGCTTAAGTAGGTAAACAAAGCGCGCTGGGAGCTCGAACTGGGTGGACGTACGCAGCTCAAGGAACCCTGCCTGGTCTCTCTGTAGACTCCACCTCTGGGGGACAGGGCAACAACTAAACAACAACAAAAAAGCAAAAGCAGAACCTGCAGATGCAAAATGACTCTGTCCTGACAGCTTGAAGAGAGCAAGTGGATCTACCAACACGGATGAGGTTGAGATCTGAGAAGGGACAGGACTGCTCCTGTTCAAGTGTGGTCCCTGAACCCTGAGTGAGCCTACTGAGGAAGACAATCCCCCAAACTAGCGGCAGATCTGACACCCAACACGCTCACAGGGTGAGTACACCCCTGAGAGGAAGCTTCAAAGCGAAGAATCAGAAGAGTACACACTCATCTGTTCGAGAAATATTCTATCTTCTGTAGCCTCTGCTGCTTTGATACCCAGGAAACAGTCATCGGTCTGAGGAAGTGGACCTTCAAAGCAATTCTCCAACCAGAG